ATGAAACGAAAAGTTTGTTATCGAACAAACTTATTTTTATAGAGCGGGGATTGGGGGTAAACGGGCAGGATCTGTACATCTGATGTTAAGTGATACCGCCGCCCATGGACACTCTCAATGCCAGAGGGCTCGCGAGTGCGATGCCGGCCTTTTTCGCAATGCGATAAATAAATATTAATAAACAGTTTTAAATCTTTATTTAAAATCTGTATGGGCAGAACTTTTTAAGCTCAAAAATTCTGATATTCCTTGGTTAAATCGTTAACCACAAATTAAATCGTTTGGAAACCAAAAAAAATAATACACGGAATGCATGACCTATAATTGTTGAAGTCAAAAGGTCTCTTACGTTATAACGATGACGTCAACGTACGAGACAATTGAGTGTATTTAAGAATATAAATTGCCTACTAATTCAATCGTTAGTATTAAAATACCAATGGTCTACAGTACAAATTAGGATTTAAATAAATAAATTAATGTTTACACTAATTAAATGAAGCAATGACGACCTCCATCGGGACCGTAATGTAAGAGTACGTCACCAGACTAATCAAAAGGATTGCTGGAGCCCACGAACAAGGGCGCCACCAACAGAGTTTCTTCCCTTTAACAGAGACTGTAAGTAGTGTTATTGGACAATTTCTTATGTTATTAGTCAATTAAGTAAGACTTAAATTACTCATTTGTGTTCAGTTAGACTAGATCGTAATATTAAATGATGTCTTTGTGCAAAGACAATTTATCAAAAAAACTCTAATTAAATTTGTTAAAGATTTGAGAGTCTAAATTTATTCAGTTTTCAACTTCAATTAAAAAAATACCAAGTCATCAAAAGTGATGATACTGTTAATGTCGCGCTTAGAAAGTAGGACTTACAAATCTGACAATTATTTCAAAAGAATACCGCTGATGAAGCATAATTAATAGTTATATTATAAATACTATACCAATAGTATTATTTTAACAAACACTGAAATAAAAGCATTGTTAAGTGCCTATCTGATACTTAATCCGCAGTGTCAAGCAAAAAGTTAGTAGTAAAATTTTAGATATTTTTTTAAAGTGTATATTTCTGTAGCATTTATTTTTACCATAATTGTCATAGTTTACAACAGATAGCTTGTAACATATATTGTAGACAAAGCATTATATATGTGGTGACTTTATTAAATAAAATAAATAAATACTCTTGCTAACGCAAGATTAATACAAAAATATATATATAATCTATATGGCCTTCTTCTACTAGTTATAGGTAATATTAATGTGTAGATTGTGATAATTAATTTGCCATAAGTTACTAATTAGATAAGCGTTTGCACTCTTTCATAAAACAAATGTTATAATATCATATGATTTCTGAACACCTTTTTAAACTAAGCATGTCTGCACGAAGCAAGGCCTAACTAGAATAAAACTAAAACATTTGTATGATTTTCCATAGGTATTAATTATGTCACGTCATATAGCCAGCACACGACGCATGCGACCTCGTTACAAACAGGGCGCCAGATTCGTTTCCGTTATCGCGCTAACACTACACGCTCCCAGTTTCATATCCTAGCCATAAAATTGTTATTGATAACTTATAGCTATCTATTAAATCACGATTAATTTCCGATAGCGTTTTTTTTATTCTAAAAAATGAGGGTAGGTAGATATTTTTCGATACATAATTAATGAGATACCTTCGAACGTTAAGATTGATTGTTGCAGATTTAAAAACGACTAAACAATGTTTAACTGTCAAAGAATTACTTACATGGTGTAATAGTTGCAGCTATTTAAAAACATTGTGTGAAACAAAAAGCTTGGCAGTAAATGTAAAATTAGAAGCTTTTAATATGTATTTTTTTAACGTTCATAAGTGTACATAGAATAAATGATTTTAGATTTTAAATGAGTTGCATTTGGGACTACGTATCGCATTACATATATATATAAGCAGCGGAAATGTCAAATTAAGAGCTGACGTAAAAAGTATATTATTCTCACAAATTTAAATCCAATCTAAACTCTAAAGCCTATTTAACATTATGTACATAATGACACCCTAATTCAATAAGTTCAATGCTGCAAGAGGTTTAGCTACAAAAAAATTCAGGTAGAAGTCCCTAAAATAAATTTTATTCAAATTTCAACCTTCCGTATTTTTAGTTTTACATTTCGGTCGAAGTCTTTGATCCAACTTAAGCGAAGGCTCAATTGTAAAGACATCAGAGAAAATTGGAGTGCTCAAATTGTAATGACTGGGAGAGGACCATTTTTTTGCTACTTATCCCATATCTATAAGTACCTACTTTCAAGTTTCAAATAATTTAAACATTATTTTATTTCTCACCATCCAATGAGTAAGGTGACTCGTCATTATAAAGCTTTTTTAATAAATCAAACGTTCAAATAAAATGCATATAATTTATTTTTCCTAATTCCCCTGTAGCTTTTACTGTACAGCCGTCATCGAAAACACGCCAGGGTCTTACGGATTTTTTTTCACGTAATTTATATAAAAAAAATTCAAGAAAAATCTTTAATTAAGATAGTGGTTTGCAATTTTCAATCGATTAAGCTGTGGGCGTCATTCTGGACTGGGTGCAGCGCCGAGCCCAAACAATCAGCCCGCACTTCTCTCGTAACTAATGTTATATACTCGATCCCACACATCCCAGCGGGACATAACACGCAACGTATGATAAACATGAGAGCCTTTTATGGGTAATTTCTATAATTAATTATACCCTGGCATATTGGACAGCCTCGGAGGAAGAATCTCACTGGCTGACATCCCAAATTTTTATTAGCGCGTCGTGTGACCTTCCATGTTCTATCTATCCCATATTAAAATTAGAGAACTTAATAAATATATACACCAATAAGCCGTAACATATCTTATCTGGTAGTTTTCGTAAAATACATGATAAGTTAACTATTCGATGTGACGCTTAAACGAGATTGCGAACATAACCTGTAAAACTGGAAAAACTTAGCTCAGCGAATTAGATAAAAGTTAGTCCTTATTCGCATTTAACGATCGTGTACGTTGAACGGAGTCTGCTCTGGGCCGGATTTTAGGACCCTCGACTGGCGATGGACGCGGTCTCGGAATAATCAAGTACCTCCCTTCCCGCGTTCGTTCACACAATCGACGCTCCCTCGACCCTACCTACGCACGACGAATCTACACAATGCCATCCACCTATACTCGACAACCCTCGCATTGCACTAAACCGCGCTAACCGATCGCAAAGCAAACACGACCTTAGCCAGAAAGCCAGTAGGTTGTTTTAGCTACTAAATTAAGCTTTCGATTACGAAAGCCAGTAAAGATAAATGAAAAGCAATCTAAAGACTCATAGATTCGGTCGAGAATCCCTTGACACTGTCATAGTTCGAGCGCAACGTGCATTCAATCGCAAGTTACATGAATATTGAAAATAACTCTTATGTCTTTCGCGCTGATTCGAATACGCCTCGACAGGTTATGCCAAACACCACGTGTTTACGGAGTACTTAATAGGAACACATTATTGAACTTGACGCACATGTTGTAAAAGTTTATAATGCGGCACAAACTTATTGAAAATCTACAACTAACAGACATAAATTAAATTAAGCACAGTGAAAAATCTACATACACTTTTATATTAAACTTTTTAACTGAAATTACATAATTAAATTTTTTGTCTGCTTTTCGGCAATCGTGCAATGAGACAATAAAATCAAAATCGCGTATATGTATATCCGTTAAAGTTTTCTTTAAATGTGAAGTACCAACTTACGTAAAACAAAGAGAATAGTAATCCACCCACATGTTGACTATAAAAATAATTATTTCAGGAATTAATTCATAGCTGTATAATTAATAGTTATAAAGATTCAAAGACTATTCAAATTGGGTTTTCAAAAATATGCCCACAAGGTTGTTCATTGCCAAATGTGTGAGTGGCGAAGGTTTAAAGTGGCGTGGCCAGACTTCGTTATTCATTTAACAAAGCAAGGTTTTGTTTCAATGCAGATTTCAATAGTCTTTGATTATTAGTAATTGTGTAAGTTTGAATGTATTGGCGATCGCGCGAAGCGCATTGTGACCAAGTGACAATAGGCAGTGTTTTTCTTTGCGTTATCACAAAAAGCAGGACTGCATTGAATTATTTCTGTTACATAAGCACTTAATGCTTTGTAGCTGAAACTATTAAGATGAAAATGTTGGCTAGCACTTTCATACAATGATACAAAGTTTTGTACCTATTCTTAACATAGTAATAAACAGAAACTGTGCCTAAATTTAGTTATCTGATAATGGCATTAACTTATTTCTTTATTAAAAAATAAAAACTGACAAGTTATGGCAGTGGCAAATGTCAATTGTAAAATTACTATTATGGCATGATGACATTATTTTGAAAAAAGATGGATATTTATTTTCTTCAAACTACCTTTATAATTTTAATGTATAGATAGAAAACTCTAATACATAGTTAAAAATAGCCTTACGCTTATAAAATGATAAAAGTATAATGCAAATATATTATTAAACAAATCTTTTAATGAGTTGACTTTGCATTTTAGGTTTAGGATGTAAATATATTATTCAAAACATATGTTATTTATTATTTAATGTATTTATTAGCAATAGTAGAGATTTAATTCTGTATAAATCCTTAAAATTTAATAAAATAATCTTAATTTATTAATTATTTATAAACATATAGCCAATGTTGAATAATGACAATGACTTAAAATTTATTCTGTAAGTATATTATTTATTTTAAAAGGTAGGTTGTTTTAGAAAGGTAGGTGAATAAAAGTTTAGTTATAATTTTATAAAAGAATAATCACTACTGTTAAATAAATTATTTCTTTATAAGCTTACACTAGTAAAAATACCACGAGTTACTCACCATACTACTCCAAATGCGCCGTATCCTATGGGCCTATCGGGCTGCACATCGGTCGGAATGGCCGGTGTCTGATAGTAGGGCGCCGCTGCCGCCAGGATGGCGCCCTGCGGCGCACTCTGGGTACCGCCCTGCATCAGCGACATGGAGACACTCATGGAGACGCGAGAGTGCCGCGCGGGGCCGCTTACTGCCGCCATCCAACCACTCCGCGTCTCGTCGTCACCGCAGACTCATCAACATTACACGTTAACCTCAACTCCGACACTGCCCCGATCACCAAGCTCTTCCCGGTTGACACGCGACGCTGTTACCGGTTACTTCTATATTATTCATGCTCGAACGACTATGCGGGAATCACTGATTAAACGCACACAACACGAACGACGGGCACCTGTCAATTTTACCAGTTAATAACGTAAAGGAGTGAATTTACGATTGGTTTTGAGTAATTAATGTATCCCTGTTACAATAAAGGTAAATTAATCAGGACAAAGGATATTACGGTATTAAATTTAGGGAATTGATCTAAACGTCTACACACGGCGAAAATCGAACGAGACTGTTGTATTTCGGGTGAGTGGGGGACGGGGGCCAAACGGTTGTGTATGAAGAAAGAGAGCTCATGAATAATGAAACTGTAGCTATGGGAGAGCGAGATGGAAAACAAAAATGGCTGCGATCAGTGACGCGACGCATTGAACAGCTGCTTTCAGTGTTACAAGTACTATGACCGTTTCCCTACATTCGGGGAGAATCGTTTTGTATTATGTCAATATCATGTAGAAAAAGTACACACTTTGATATATATCTAAATGTACGATATTAGCGGAATCGTCTAATATAATATAATACCAGATAAAACTCTACTATTTCGATAAAGGTGCACATAAAAATTTACGTTTATTCTAAGCTTTTTGACCGGACTATTTTAAAAATACTGCAATCGGACATAAAAATGATTTTAACCTCTTATAAAGGGTAGCCGCAAAACGAACCACTCTCTTTTATAAATCTACAAATAAAAACGTGAACATAAACTTACGGCTATAGGAACATCAGATAGTTGACTGAGTCGAATTTTGGAATAAAATTACGATACATATTGTATGTAATGCACGATAAAATTATTCCAGCGTAAATTTAATTTTAAGGATACCATTCAATTTGCTACTGTATTGTATATTTTTTATAGTTGACGTATTTGCAAGAAAAAGTTGGCTTTCTCTTTTTTACAACTAATTCGTCAACAAAATAAATAACAGGCTGTCATGAAAGACAAAAAACCGTATTATTTTCATATAGGTACATATTGTATGTAAAAAAAATCCCAGGCGGGTTTCGAACACACAACCAAATGATACAGTGTGACAGCTCTCAAATGACTAAGTCCGACTTCTATGCCACACTTGTTTACCTGTTGTATGAGATTAAAAAAGCGCAATTCCTTTTTTGAAGTGAAACTTCTTTATCGAGGTTGGAAAAAAATTTAGTGTAACATTTTTGAAGTTATACTTCTTTAGGCGTGTTATGAAAAATTTATGAGAGTGAAATTTTACAATGCGCGCGCACCCGTGACACAAAATTAGGAGTGTGATTATAGCGTGCGCGAGCGAGATAGGAATAAGACAATCTACAAGTAAAAAGAAATAGAATATGCGTGAAGTTCGTATGCCAACAATTTTGAATGACCATAATGACATTTGTCATTTACCTTTTAAACAAATAAAGGAGTTTTAATTATTTTTTCAAAGAAATTTAGCGATGCTTTTTGAATTATAATCAGAAGTGATTTAAATTGAATATTTAAACCAATACTAATTAATATTTGTGAAAAAACTGTGCTCATCAACCTTCCTAAGTGCTTCAATACAATTGAGGTTAACTATCCGTATGTATTATTATTATTATCGAGTAATGTTTTGATTAAAAAATTAACCACATTGTTTAATCAAAACATGTAATTTTTCTGATTTTATCTAGCAAATATAAGGAAAAGAGACAAAAAACAATTGATGAATCAGTGTAACTGCACTAAATTGAATACAAAAAAAGAGTTTCCATCTTATCGCTGTGAAACATCAAAAACTGGAGGTGGAACAAAGCCAAACTATTTTTAATATTGCCAAAGAAGTATAACTTCTTACGCGCGTACATAAGTACACGGACCCTTTTTTTTTCGTTACGCGTCACATTTTTCGGTTACGCGCCATGTTGCTTTTTGAAGTCAAACTTCTTTATCGGCGTTGGAATGAAACTTCTTTATCGGCGTTGGAATGAAACTTCTTTATCGACGTATGGGAGAAATTTTGTAGCAAATCGTCACGTTTTTCAATGATAGTAATAATTCTATTACAATTAATGAAATTCTATAATAATATTCGTAGTAATAAGGTAAAATGAAATATTTGTATTCATGTCTATGATAATAAAAGCCTTTTGTTAAACCTTATCTAATTTAACGAATTTCTGTAAAGTTGCATATAGTAGATCATTTTTCGAAAAATAAGATCATAAAGAAGTTTCACTTCTTACGTGTGTACACCTAGTACACGCACAATTTTTTTTTATATATGTAGGTAAGCTTCATTTATATTCGTTATCAAAAGTTTGAAATTTAGTGTGATAATAGAAATAAAACACAAAAATAATAAATATTAATTATTTTATCACAGAGAATCACATTGTGTTATACAACATTTACGTGGCTAGTACAAAATATACCTTACAACGACCCACAAAGATATATGCTCGCTATTTTAAATACCTTAAACAAACATCGAAACATTCCTACAAAATACGTTTTTTGTATATTTAACGGCGTGTCTCAGAATATACTTTTTATAAATAAAACGCGATACCGTCAAAAGTTTAAATGATATATTCATCAGTAAGATAGAAACATTGAATATTGACAAGTGGCGAGTTAATTTTAAATGTATCGGAACAGCGTTTATTTGCAAATTGTATTTTGAGGCTGTTTAAAAATCATAGATAAAGCAAATGAACAAGAAACGAATAATTGTAAGTTAAATTTTTAAAGGTAGCAACCTTATTACATGTTGTTCATACTTCATAATATCAACCTAGCATCGGTAACCAAAACACGATCGACTTTTGAATTTAGTTTTTTTTTCATACATTTTAACCTTTTTTTAATTATTATTTTGTAACATCCGGTTGATTTATTAGTATATTTTGAAACGCGTCGCTAAACTAGATGGCATGTGGAAATTGCACTATTAACAAATATAGTATTTCATAAAATAAAGGTATCTAAGAATAATAATTACAAAATATTACAACACTAAAATATTTATGAGTACGGAGCTATCGTTAGTAATATATATGAAACATGGAAGCAAAATTAATGTATAGACGGTTTAACAAGTTATTTATATAGTAAAATAAAGCTAAGATATACGTTATTTTATAAAGGTTGTGATTATGTTCTCAATTCCATAAAATTTTGTCACCAATTGTAAATATTGTCTATCGCAAGTTTGGGTTTGTTAAATGACTGAAGAACTTTTATCTGTTGGAACATTTCTAGTAGTTGTTGCGTATGTAAGCATTAAACGGCAGTCAAGGTGAGTGGTTGGTTGACTTGGGGAAAAAATGGCAACATTAAGGAGGTTTTTAACAAGAGTCAGGTAGATTTTCGACAATTTAAAACTAAATTTTTGTTACGTTTTCAGAATTTATATAAATTTTTAGTTGACCAATTTAATTTAATAATTGTGTAACCCAACTTACCGATCATATGAAATTGTTAATATGTCAAACGCAACTATTCGCGAAAACGTCAGTCACAAAGTATTTCGTACCATAGACAATTTTGGTAGGTCAAAGACAATTAAAACATATTTAAAGGCAAATAAGAAAAATTTGTATGAAAAACACATTTTTCGTAAAATTTAAGACAGTACACTAAAATAAAACGGGCGGCCTTATCGGTTATAAGCGATGGCTTCCAAATAACCCGACATTATATACACTAAAGGATTATTGTCTATATACACGTATCCCATACTTTAGACCTCAATTGGACTGTTAAATATAAAGACTTACAATTACCACTGAGTATAAAATCGTGCTTAAACTTACGATAAGAAAAAACCGTCACAAACTAAGTTTCCGGTTTCAGAAAAATAAAAATTTGAAAATCGACGCCCGTTAACATTGCCAGTATTAAAAATGTTACCATCAATTTAAGTATTAATTCGACTCCTAATTCGTATTTGCTTCTAAAACTATTGTATCTACTTTATATTGTAAGAAATATTTGTACAATTCTCGCCAGTTGTGCCAAACAATCATACTGGCCACGTAACATTCCACGTGCAAAGTGCATAATTCTAAGATTTGTTTTTTTTAGTTTTAACTAAAGTACTATCTCGTCTTTTTTTGTCAAATTATTAATGTTAGTACTTTAGTTAAAATAGTGCAATTACTGAAGTATTTTTTACGAAATGATATTCAATATACAGCGGAAGAATCAGCTTCAAAGTGACATGACAAATAATAGTCTGTTTTTTTTTTCGCGCCATTACACCATTATCTGTTTCAGTCATAAACAATCACACCCATATTAATAGCTATTTAAACCGACTTAAAAGAGGGTAGTCTGTTTGACCTGTAAGTGTGATATTATTGGAATTGATGATATTTATGTAAGTATCCACAAATTTCTCGGAAACTAAAAGCCACATCGAGATTTTTATTTTTGAATCACATATATTCCAACTTAGGAAACAGGTCAAATTTCATAATATTCGGTTTTGGATATAGGGTATTCACGCTTTTCTCAATAACGTTGATAGGTATTTGAAGTGAATACTATGTTTTTGATATCTCCTAAGCCACGTAACTTGACTATTAAAAATTCTTTAAGACCTTTCACCCTGATATTATATACAACACGAATTAATTACATATATTGTTGTCAGTATTCTTCGTCAAATGTTTCGCCGGGAATCGAATCCAGAATCTCCGGCTTAGTCGTCTACCTTAACCGCTAAGACACGGAAGTTAAAAGCGCACATAAACACTTTCATATAATTTAATTTTTTGGTCAAATAGTAGTTAATTCCAATAAGATATTAATTTTCATACGTTCTGAAGTATCAGCAATTTATTCTTGCTCGTAAGGAATAATAGAAATTTGATTTCCCTGTTTTTGTCCCACATATTTGACCCCCAATTTCATTTAAGTATGCATTTTATTTTAACAACATGTTTTAAAATGTGAGCCAAAGATTCAGTTATTATCCTTTCAAGATAATTTCAATTTATTATTGCAAACGCCAAGGCAATTTAAATTGGCAAATTCTAACTTAAAACTGGCATATTTCCTCCATAAACGGGCAACACTAACGCTTTATGACAATTCAAACCCAGTGTTGCTATTTACTGCGTATCGCAATTTGTCTCGTAGCGTACTTCGTTTTTGGTAGTTTGGTAGTTTGAGCAGATTAAAGCAAGTAGAGGACGTCGGTAGGCGATTCAAGGGATCCTTTTTGCGTATCGTAAAAAAGCCTCTTATTACACTTCCTGAAACATATTAATCTCATTAATACTTATAATAACTAAGATAACATTTTATTTATTTACAAAAAACACAATCTTGTCGTAACAGGTGACCCAAAATCAACAAGAATGCATAACCAATGAAATTTTTTTACACAAAAACAAACAAGAAAATAATTAGGAAAAACTAAATTACATAATAAAAAATAGATAGATATTTGACAAAGAGCATGGGTGTTACACAAACATTATGTAAAACAAAAATATGGCTATTGAAAAGAGTGTCGGAAAATTTATTGAGAATTCTTCTTGGCCCGTTAACTGGCAGGAATTGTAAATATGGAAGCATTTACTTTTTTATTGACATTAGTGTTCATTGTGTCAAGCTATATGAATAAATTAATTTTTATTTGATATATAGGTCTGTTTTGTACAGAAAATAAAAATGAGATGAATATATGTTTTTTGAAGTAAATATATGAAATTAATGTCATACTCGTATTAAGAAGTACAACAACAAATATATTAACAGTATCCTTAATTAACTTAACATACTTCCCGGAGATCATGGTTTCGACTTCGGTAAACACTAACTTTAATCAAAACATCCATAAAAAAATGTAGAAATATGTCTAATTTACCCCTGGTCTCTTCGAACATACATAAAAGTTTTAATATATTTTTGGACAAACAAAACTTATTAAATACAATGCGTCTCTATCCTGGGTTCAAAAATAAACAGCCATCTATAAAAAAAATCATTTAAATTAAAATATTACTCACCTATAGTATCACCCGTGTCTTCATCGTCGCCCACTTCAACACATCGTATAGAAAATGGCGGTTTAAGATGTGCAAAGCCGAGGACGGGTGGCTTTGAACACGATGTGACAAACTAAAAAATAAATACACCATATACCCAACATCTATATCAAATTTGATACTTTCACATATTGTAAATCTATTAAGAGAAGCGAGCTCTGACCTATTCTAAATCATCTCCAAACGAGTATTCTCAATAGGTGTTATAGTATAATCATAATAGGCCTCAGTAGTTGCAGGCGTTGATTCTACTCCCTCTATATTGCGCAATCTGGTGTTCCCCAAGGATCTCATTTGGGGCCGTTACTCTTTATCATACAGTCATTTACATGCAAGAGGCAGTACGGTCTCTCGGTTTTACATTTTGCTAAAGGTTGTTTGTATCTTTTCTTCTGTTTTTATCAAAATAGTATTAAGTAAATAGAAAATAATGTAAATTAATCTACTGAGTCCCAACTTAACACCTATTTCACTAAACACGTTATAATTAATTCAAAACCGTTTATAACGACATCGTTTACAACGACCTATCGGTTATTACAACCAGATTGTATGGTCCCGTCCGAATCCCTAGTAAACTATTCAGTAAACAAACCGCTTATAACAACATCGGTGCTTCGACATATGTATTGAAAAAGAGGGAAATTAAAGGAAATTTATCGGCTATAACGACCGACCGCTTCTGTTTTTCCAAAAACAAAACAATACAAACGATTTTAAAGATCTTATTTATAAGCATTGAATGATATTAGGCATATTAATACCTACGCACTTTCTGAGTCCCAACCTCTAACACATATTTTCACTAATTGACTGACGTTAGTAAAGTTAGATTCAAAATTGGTTGGGGGTGTTTTGGACTGTGCAATTGTGCATTTATGTGTTATCATGTCGCAAAATTTTCTATTCATAAAAATCTTAGCTAAGCGGGTAACAAACCAATCACTACTTTTGAACGTCAAAAATTTAAATACATACCATATAATAAAATACTCTTTCAGATACTTAATATAACTATGTACATGCATATGTGCTGGGGGTTTGTATAAGACAATTGGTATAAAGACTATCGGATATAACGTCGGGAACTATACAGTCCCTTCAATGTCGTTACTACCAGTTCTCACTTTTAATTCAAAATTCAAAAATAATTTATTCATATAGGTATCAAAACCTACACTTATGAACGTCAAAAAATAAATATAATGGTTTTTTTCAGTTTCGCGCGTAGAACGGAAGAGAAGAACTGGCAATAAAATCTCCGCCACTCTTTTTTACACTACATTTGTAAGGAGCTGCAACCATTACACCATGTTCCACACGACATCTTAAGTAATAAATAATAATAAAATAAATTAAAAACAAAGATTTGTCCTCAATCAGCAGGAGGCATGGTGAAATAGGAGCACCCACTTACATTCTCGTGGGAACAACACGCAAATACATAGTCGAAACAACTAACATCACGGCATACACGAATTCAAGTACGACCAGTCACCATAAGTAGCACCTGTTCCACTCTTTTCTTTAATTAACTTCTATGATATACCTTAAGAAACTGTGCCCTTTCATGTTCACTAAAGTCCCGTTGTAGGACATCCCAAAGCCAGCAGACAACGCGATGTGAGTCATGAAAACCGCCGTAGTATTGCGTGTGACGACGGAGGTCTCTCAAGTCCAGAGGTACGTTGTCACCGCTTATGAGGCGTTGTAACTGTAGATATTAATAATCTAATATATAAAATTCTCGTGTCACAATGTTCGTTCCCATACTCCTACGAAACTGCTCGATTCTTATGAAATTTTTTATGCATATTCAGTAAGTCTGAGAATCGGAAAATATTTTTCATCCTATTTTCGGTTTTTTTTTTTTTAAATTATGTGGCATTAAAAAAACATACAACCCTTAATTGTCACCCCACTACCATCAAGCCCTCATTTTTATTATAGTAGATAGTATTGTATAGTATGTATTGCATATTTTAGTTTACAGTGTGTTTTATTAATATTTTAATATATAAAATTTGGTTCTGCACTTCTTGCACTTCACTCATCATATTTCTTTTTTTAGTTTTTCCCTTACGAGGGTTGCCTGGAAGAGATCGCTTGTTAGCGATCCGCCCGTTGCATCCCTTATAATTTTTATGCATTGTGTTTTTTTGAAATAATAAATATTATTTGAATTGTGAAAAAATAAATATACTGACCAAAATCAAAGGTCCCGGCTGAATTCAATTGTATTAGGTACTTAATAACAACGTCATCGGTTGTTACCACAAAATATGAGTAGTCCCTTCGATGTCGTTATAACAGATTTTGACTGTCTCATGTCTCGACATTTCATTTTAAGTCTTACCTCTGGTGTTGAGAACAACGATAACCATTCCGGATTAATAATAGCTCTAAAGCCCTTTATGAAGGCGTTGGTCTGGTCCTTGATTTGAGTGTGCATCCGAAAATGTGCCATTAGGTGAATGTAGTTTATTCTAAAAAGTAAACACTATATTATGTATCTTAATACTTACTACAAAGTTTATTAAATCGGTATACATTTAGATACGTATACGTTCCTTACGTACGATTACGATACGTAGGTAAGAACGCTAAAAGAAACACTTCTACATTGTCTTTTTATAGAACAGGGGGCAAGCAGGCATGAAGCTCACCTGATGGTAAGTGATACCGCCGCCCATAGACACTCTCAATGCCAAAGGGGCCGTTCAACAATTACGTAAGCACTATAGGGGAGAGGGGAGGGGGGTCTTTGATTTTCTTATTTGGTGATTACGTCAACAGTAATTATTTACTTTTTTAACACATTACACACACATTGTCTATGCTTGAAAACGCATGCATTTTCGAGAATTCCTACAAAAATATAATACGTTTATGTACTATTATTTTTGAGAGCTTTGCTTACTTTTGCTGACAAGACGAAGGGGGGAGGGGATAAATTGCAGTAAATCTGCTTACGTCATACTTGACGGCCCCAGAGGGCTCGCGAGTACGTTGCCGGCTTATAAAATAACCACCTCTCTTCTTCCATCTTTCACCATCGCAATATCGTGCCCATGCGTCAAACTTCGAACAACTTTCGAGATCCTTGACAACTCCACCAACGCAGCCCCAGTCAACCTGGTTTTCTCTTGCCATCAGGTTGTGAGTTCAGTAAGGAAGGTTCTGTCATTCGCCATTCGGTGCACATGTCCCAACCATTTGTGCCTGTTTTATTAATTGGACGATGTTGGCGTCGTCAAGGATCTAAAGTTCTTCATTGAAGTAATGAAACACCGTTGTCGCAAACAGAGCCAAACATTTATAATATAACAGACTTAAAAATTTAGCTAAATCGATTCGATGATACAAAAATAATTATTAAAATTTCTGTCATTTATACTCTGATTTTTAATTCCTTAGAATTCTGACATTTCATAGGTGTTGCTACTAAAAAAGTTCTCCACCGAAAAAGGGAAAAATTTGACTTAATTAAGGGCAATAAAAAAAGCTACGTATTTTATATGTTTTACCTACAAAAAGGTAAATCAAGTGACCTAATACAAAAATAACAAATATTTCAATATCACGAACGAATATCGAATTAAGTTTCATTACTTTATTTTATTCTTTAGCTGGCATCACTGCCTACTAATTCCAGGTGTAGTAAACCTTTAAAAAAAATGTTTTCTTTACTTGTGCGTTTTTTACTGTTTGTGATGAAAATGGAACTAATCGCCACTCGCCGTTAAACCACTTTTAATGTGGAGCACCGCACTTAATAAAATGGATACAATAAACTAACAATAAAATGTATATATAGAATCAGATGTTCAGACTCGTATTAAAATTGAAAAATGTGCCCGGTCAAAAAGGTTTGTCATCTCTGACATGTCAAAAAATAATAGCTGTCAGAATTCTACAGAATTAAAAATCAGAGTACAGTTACTAACACATATCGCCTATATGATTATTTTTGCAGGAATGGTTCATTTAAGGCAGAAAACAAGATCTGCTTCCGAGTTTCATACTATTAAACGAACACTCTGTATAGTTTAATATTAAAAACTACTTTTTTTTTTAAATTTTTGTTTTTTAGTTCGTGTTGGTTTTACTTACTTATTTTCATTTGTGACTGGTATGGCTTTGCCGCCGGGAACCAATTCGTGAGTCACAATTTCGCCCAGACGTTCCTCGTCCACTGAGAATGTCAGTTCCAAACTGGATATATCACCCTAAAAATAATTAATTTAATTAAAGCCTTAATTAAGGCCAAAAAAGTTTTTTTTAATTTATAGCGGCAATTTGCGCTTAGAAATCACTGCCATGACGTCATAGCCTGAATCGCACTAACGAAAGCGTAATACAATTCTCGGCCTTACGGAGTGTTCAAGTATTACGTAACGAACTTGGGGGGGGTGTCCTTTTGTAAAACGTAACGATGCGGGGCGGGGATTGAATTAGCGGGGCGTTATTGTTAATATTATTTTCGACTTTCCAGAACTTTACACCACATAATGGTAACTTTTAGGTGAGTCACTAGGTGATCACGAAACGTTTTACTATACTTGGGTACAGAAAAACGTTACGTCGCGTTACATGGGGGGGTTGTGTCAATAATCTCCAAACATTGCGTAACTTAACAGGTAGAGGTACCTTCCTTTATTTATCAACAATTCGTTGCAGAAACATAATACAATTGACATAATTAAATGAAAAGGACTGGCGGCCTTATCGCTTTCAAACGATCTCTTCCAGGCAACCACTGTGGATAAAAAACATAGATAAGGTAAGCAAGAAAAAAATACATAATACATATATTTATTTAGACAAAACTCAAAATAGGAACAAAAAAAACTAAACTAAAAAGGACATATGAAAAAGAGAAAGTGCAAATGAATCACGATAATTTTAGATCACTCTCACATCAGTTAGTACGAAAGTTAGGGATACGATGTGGACAGGTAATGTTTGTGCAGTAGAGATTTAAAAGAAAGATAGAGAAGGAGTTTCAGGTTGGAGGAACAGTAGGTACACCTTCTCCCTCCACAAATTTGTACTCGATTTATCAACATAATTTTATGTTATAAATGTTAAAGCTGTTCTGAACATAATCTCTATCAGAAAATTGATCGTAAGGACTATTAAAAATTAAACGCGTTTTAATCCGATAAAGTGCAAGAAAAGTGGTGTTTCAACCTGGAAGTGCTTGATGTAAGTCAGACTCCGATACAAATCTCGGTCCAGCGATGGCAACTCATCAATCCAGCTGTACAGCGCCTGTTGTGTTTGCCCCAGCACTTGGCTCAGGAAGAACGATGCAAATGGCACGTCTACCACAATTCCCTGGAAACCAATCCATAAATATTATTGTCTAAGAAATTTGTAATAGGCTATTTAACAAGATTTTAAAAAATCTGAACATTTATTAGCGAATTAACAGAATTAATATATAAAGTATTGACTTTAATTCAAATGAAACATTCATAATTTCAAGAACCCGCCAATAACGCTTCTCTAGGCCAGAGGTCGCACCAGTTCTTATGACGTAACAAGCTTGTACACACGTAATACAAAGATAAGTTTTTACGTTTTAATTATCATTCACAAATTACACATATATTTCGATTAAAACCAGTCTCCGACGAAATTAAGCTCCAAGACAGTATTCGACAAGCAAATACTATTTATGTTTAAAGAACTTTATTTCTCATTACAAAAATTATTTTTTATTTACATGAGAAATTTAATATTATATACGATCGAGATACATGTCACCATCAACTAGCCCAATTTTAGTCTAATGGGCTCATTCTGATGTGTATCTTTAATGCCCTTTTGAACTGATTAATCACGCTAATGATACGAACCTTAGACGGCAACTGATTAAACAATTGCACACCCTCATACCTAATAGATCTCTTTAAATAATTTGTGCGCGGCTTTGGCAAGATAAGCAAACTCGCTCGATTATTTACAAGCATGCTACGTCATCGTCGATTTCACTAACTCTTGTGATCGTAATGTCACGTGACTAACATATAAAAATCAATATATTTAACAGTGTATTTTTTATAAATTAATAATTATTATTAACAAGTTATTTTCCTCCACAACACTTTTTAAAGCCATCTTTTAAACAGATTTATATATTCTCAAGAATATTTTAATACTGTCTAAATTGACCATGCATTGTTCACCTTAACTAACAATTATTCACCGGGCATCGAGCCCAGATCTTTGGGTATTACAACAGTAATATATAACATCAATCTTGATAGTAAAATGACAGTTCATTAGGCCAGAGGTCGATAATAGAATAACTTTCTGTATTTGGTATTTATGTATTCCAATGGTCCTTCGAGCCGAAATACAGTATAAATGATCTAAATTGTCCAAAATTATTTACCTCGTACACCGCCTTTCCCAACATCCGCCCAATAAATTCAAATAACTGCAAATGATTATCTTGAAGACATGAAGTCGGTGATGGATAAAGTCGTTCCTCACTCGTCACACGGAATAAGTTTAGGGAGGGGTCGAACACTCGTTTTATTGTTTCTTCTAGAAACTCTGAAAAATTGCACAAATTAAGATCATAAATGGGTCTAATGGGCATGTAACATGTTTAGTGTTATATAAGGATTTGATGTGTTTAAAGGTATGAAGTAACGTATGTAGTAAGTTTTAATAGAACACTACGCCCAAGACGCGTACACGCAGCGCACAATGCGAAGTCACACCAAGCTCGTGGCATTCACTAGCTAGACGTCTGCAAGTACGATAGCCCTCTGGGTCGTCTTCAGTAACTTTTCTTGACCGATGCCCCGCGTCGTTAAGCCTTAGCTATGCCCCACGTCCTCCCTACGGTTCAATGTTAGGCTACTCATATTGTATGTACCTACTGTTATATTGTGTCAGAACAAAAGGTATTTTCTCAAGGATATTTGTGTTGATTCTCAACACGCCCTTACATGTATGAATCATTAAATTAATTAAAACGAAATGAAACAGAAATCTAAATATAGTTGAAAATATATAAGCTCTTATTTAATTCGGCCAAAAATTAAGTCATGTTATCGATATATAGATATGTAGCCAGAGACAGGAAATTTTCTGAATTAAATTTATAAGATCTAATAATATAAACTTCTTTCTGAACGAGACAGAGGCTCAGTGTGGACGCCCTCCGTCCTATGTAGGGGTCGTAGGATATTAAGTCAAGTAAGTCTTCTACAATTTTGCTTTATTTATTTTTGAACTGTAACTTCTTTCGCGCATGAGTGTAAATTATCACGGAAACGTAACGAAGATGTGCAGCGTTTTTGTCAAAGAAAAGGGAGAGAGCGATTGAGACCGATTGAGAGAGAGTGAGAAGGGCGAATTACCATATAGAAATTCTATTTTTAAAATTAAATTTTCGTAAAGAGAATTTATGAAATATTAGTATTTTATGCAAAATAATTTATTGAAATCTCAAATGACGAATTGTAAATTAAAATGCCACGTGTTTTTATTATCGAATAAAATTTAAAAATAATATATAATTTGTATTAATTTGCGACACTTTTAATATTTTAATGACAATTAAATTCATTAAACTCCTAACATATCTTCCTTTTTTCCTCTAAGTCTCGGAAATCTAAAGTTTTAGATATGAACAAGACCTAAAAATTTGTTTGCCAAAGAAGTTTCACTTCTGACATGTGTACTTTGTACGCAAGTAGTTTTTTTTAAATGCATTTGCACCTAGCCTCTGTGTCACATGTCGATGTTTGAGCCAATTCCCTAAGAATATTCTCATCATAAATTTACTTTAAGTTGGAGCATCTGGAAAGCAATTGCACTAACCTTTAAACACTCCATCTTGGTCAATCCCAGCCTCATCCAGGCCCTGTTCGTTAATAAATCGGACTCTAACCACACCGCGTAAGGCTCTACTTGGCAACGCCGCAAGTTGTCTATAGCCATCTTCTACTAATCTATTACGACGAACCGTCACTAATGTGGACCGACCCCCACATGCACGTTCAGTTAGACCTAGTACCACCTAAAAAATACTTATATATAGTTTTTACAGGAAAACATCAAAACAACAGGTATAATTAGCATTTAAATTTATTTCATCTATTGTCATGCAAATTGAGTTACGTAAAAAAATGTCTTGTAGTAGTATACCTTTTCATCCGCTACGGCCCGTCTAAATAACCTTACTCGTTCACCGTGTGCGATCATGTGCGGCGTCTTTTGAACCAGTACCTGTATTAATAAAATACTTTATTACTCTTCTCTGTTGTATAGATTAAATTTGTCTGTATACGTCATTACGTATACGTATGACACAAGGATTATCTATGCTGGTAGTTCATTGTATAATAAGTAGTTTGGTTTGTACAATAAAAATGTGTGAAGCAATAGATTTTAACGTTGTTTATCTTTACGTAAAAGTTTAAAGTACCTATTACTAATCAAACAAAAAAAAATCCCGTTGGGGGTAATTTGGATTACAGTAAACTTTAAACTAAGTTTTAAAGGTTAAATTAAGGAAGAGGAAAAGGAAGAGAATCTGAAATAATAAATCTCACCTGTTGAGGTTTCTTCCCCTTCTCAAGGTCGGCCATGAAGTGCGAGTCGCGTATATCCCGCACTAGCCAATGGGACGGCGGCGTATACGCACGCCGACAGTCACGGCGATACAGCACCAGAAGCAACGTGTGCACTGAACGGAACACGTCATTGCTTTGGATGCTTTTGAGATCTGGAAATGGAGTAAATTTATTGTTACATGTTGGGTATTTCATTTTGTACAGTAAAATAATTTTTCATGGAAGGTTTAAGTTGGCGCCTGGTAGATAGTACCCGTGACCCCAGAGCTGGTGCTTTCCTCGCTCAAGGAATAAGTATCGCAATACAGGAAATGCTGCCAGCGTTGAAGGGGCCACAGTAACCTTTTTAAAATTTTTTTTTTTTTCCTAATTTTTAATTATTTTTATTATTACTATGTACTCAGTTTAAGATAATTGTTACAGTATAATAATCAAATACACAGTATTTACATAAATGATAAAACATGAATAATAGAAGTTATATAAAAGATAAATCCATACATATCCAATTTATAACTAATGTTAAAATTTCTTACACTTTCATTTCATTATTTGACAAAATGTTTAACATATTATGAAACTTTTATTAACATTTAATAAGGCATTTATTACTTTATATTATATCTTATAATTCTCATAACATTTTTATTCTGAATATTATAGCTAATATGTAATTTAAATATTGTTAAACATTTTATCCCGTATATATATATATTATAAATACTTATACTTACCAAATAATTGTCCTATTATAGATTTATAAATGAACATATTCAAGAAGGACGACATATTAACAAAATCCTGCAATTTGAATGGTTCTTGCTTTTCATACATTTCCATATCGTCAAGAATTCTAAAAACCATACAAAAAATATCAAAATTAAAAACATTCGTAAATATTATTCATTGTCCCACATATTTGTTTTCCTAGTCCCAAATTTTCAAATTCAATTAATTGCTTTTTTTATAGGTAGGTAATCATTGCCAGACATACATCGCTTTTTGGCCTTATAGAGAATCGTAATACTACTCGACTTGCTTATTTTTATTAACCGACTTTTAAAAAGTGAGGGTTACCAGTTCTGATTGTAATATCTGAATTGTTAGAAATTGATGATGATATTTGATCGACTTTCAAGTACGTGCGATAAGTGTAAATTTATGTTTGTCTACAAAATTCTCTGAAACTCATATCCAAGTGACATTTTATATTTAAATCTGGCATTTTTTATGTAACAGAAGGCAAACGGGCAGGAGGCTCACCTGATGATTAAGTGATAACGCCGCCCATGGAAACTCACATTGATAAAAGGCACGCAAGTGCGTTGCCGGCCTTTTAAAATTTGGTAAGTACGCTATTTTCTGACATAGTGTTTCACATATAGATTTCTGGAGGGGACATGTATAACAAGGTTAATATCGTTGATCGACATTATTAGTTTAGCAGTTTTTACATAATTGACCAAAACCCCAGTACACTTTACGAAAATTTAACTTACGTAACATAATGTGTCATGCAATCTGCGAATAGTATTAGCATTTGAAACTCCGGCGCAGATGACTTAGTATTGACAGCCAGAAGGTCTAAGAAAGCTTTCAATCCGCTGCTTGGTCCCAAAGTGCACAGGAATTGCCATAACGAATATAGGATTTCGTCTTGATTGCAGAGACCTAAAAAATATATATTGTTAGATGTCACAAATGGAGGGTAGGACGGCGGAACTTGAAATAATAAAACAGCCAGAGCTGAGCCGCCAAGGCCCTTGAGGTCAACAGCGAGATTTCTTTAAAAAAAGCTGAGGGTCATTTCAAGGCTAGCTGAGGAGGCTCACCTGATGTAAAGTGGATTGTTTCGATGGAAAAGTTTCGAGGGATTTTTATTGAATAAGTAGATGTACTTTATAAGGGAGTGTTCATGTATTACGTAACGAATTTTGGGGGGGGGTCATTTTGTAAAACGTTACGATATGGGGCGGGGATTGAATTAAGCGTTATTGTTAATATTATTTTCGACTTTCCAGTATTTTACACCACATAATGGTAACTTTTAGGTATAAAGAGTCACTAGGTGGTCACGAAACGGTTACAGAAAAACGTTACCGCGCGTTACATGAGGGGGGGGTCAGTAATCTCCAAAAATTGCGTGACGTAATACTTACGCTCCCTAACTGCGACGAAAATTTGATTTTAGTTTTCAGCGGAGGAGGGATTTTATTCCCATGAAATAATGCCGTTCTATGCCAGCGTAAATCCTCTTACCTGTTAAAATATCAAGTTTGACCTGTGTCATAGTCTGTAACGCAGTGTGGTACATCGAGCAAATAAGCGCCACCTTTGTACAATCCGGAGATCCAAGTTTCCTGTAGTTTTTATTCGAGTTGCCCCTGAAATATAAAACCTTTTTAAATGTTTCTCCTTAATAATAACTTAATTCCTCTTTATATTGTCTTTGGTCTACGCGAGTATACACGTTAACGTAATTTTATTTATCCATTACTTTATTTCACAATAGTACACATTTGTAACTTCAAATTGTGTGAATTTTGTTTAAATAAGAAAATTGGTTTAAGATTTGAACACAAATTCTATTCTGCTTCTTTTATAGTTACTTTCGAAGGTTGGCGATCATATTTAATGTTTTGATCATATTTTGGATTTGAGTGCCTTGATCAAATCATTGCTTAAGATTCTTGCATCTGCCAGGTCTCCTTCAACCAGCCACTTTGCCTTGAATAATTAAGTGATTGAGTTCGTATTTTTTGGTGTCACGTAAGACATGTTCGAAATATTCATGTTTCCATTTCTCAACTATCTTAACTTCTTTCTTCCTTATCAGGATTCTGTCCATTCTCTCTGTTATCTGTCCAAAAACTTTTAAGCTCACGTCTACAAACCCTGGTCTCGAATGCTTCCAGTTTTTTGGAAATAGTCTGTATCCAATGGCTTGGCATCATAGAAAATTATTACCTTTAGGCCCGCAACGCACTCGCGAGCCCTCTGGCATTGAGAGTGTCCATGGGCGGCGGTATCACTTAACATCAGGTCAGCCTCCTGCCCGTTTGCCCCCCGTTCTATAAAAAAAAAATATAAAAAAAAACCTGAGTGTTGTCAGTACATACCTATTAGTCCTAGCTTCGATTGCTCTCCGTATAAAAGCAGCTGGGTTACTCTGCAACGGCGACGATTGTTGTGAGGGTCCCGCCCCTTCTTCACCCACACCGCCATCAATCATCTCCTTCAAGGGAGCCGCTAATAATTTCTTCAATAACGGTGCTCCCCATAGCAAAGATAACTGCATTCGTAAGTTCCCCATAGTTGGTGGCAAGTAGGCGTCGAAGCTTTGTGAAAACCATCCCAATACTGGGTGCCAGTTGCTTAAATTTCCCTTCTTGCACACCACATATTGCTGGCAACTGTCGAGGAATCGGGTCGAAACAAGCTGAAAAAATAGAATTTATATAAGTTAATTCGCCCTTCTCACTCTCTCTCAATCGGTCTCAATCGCTCTCTCCTTTTCTTCGACAAAAACGCTGCACATTTTCGTGACGTATCCGTAAAAATTTTCCCCTCATGCACCTAAAGAAGTTTCACTTAAAAAATGTGTATTTTTTAATTGAGAGTGTATTTTGGAAGTAGGTCATTGCTTATAGAATCATGAATAATTCTCTTATACTTCGCAACAATATAAACCAAGGGCTTTCTGATCGAAGCGAAACGGTTTCACTTATCATCAGATGAACCTCCAGCCTGTTTGTTAGTTAAATTTAAAAAAAATTGGGGATTACGAAAAAATTCACGCAATGGATGTTGTTCATAAATGGAATATTCACTTATATAAGAATAATGTACATAATTTTTTATGTACAAAAATTATTTAACAACAGTTCTTCATAAAAAACCTGAAAAGTTGATTGATTGTAATACTAGATGGAAATTTTAACACCGATGAGGAAAGAATCTAAACAACGCTAATAGCAAATGAATACACCTAAAAAAAACTGCGTTCAGATATTTTTCAGGAAAAATATCACTTAAAATACTTTGTTTTTAACAGAACAGGGGCAGAAACGAGCAATGGGCTCACCTGATGTTAACTGATACCATGGGAACTCAATAGTTTTTGTTTGTTTTATACAATTAAAAAGACAAATTCATATTCTATATTGTAAAAATAGCGCTTCCTAACACATAGCTGTCCGTTAACATCAGAGCCTGGGGATGCTTAATAAAAAAAACTTACCACAAAGGTTGGATAAAAGGTCTCATTAAGCGCATGATCCCGTTCAATATGAGCCATTTGTATCAGATTCCCCAAGAGGCACAACGCGTAGTTGCCTTCCAATGTATTGAACACAATTCGCATATTTTGATCTGCGCTTAGAAACTCTACGGACTTGTCGAATAGTGCGTGCGTACGGAACGTCGATATTGACTGGAAAAAGATATTTATATTTCATTAAACTAAATGCAATGTGTTGTAAATAACTATTTAATTTTTGTGGTACTTGCGAAAAAATCAAAATCAGCGGGTCTAGCGGTAGGTGATTCCCATACGTCAAGATGTATTGAATTTTGACATAGTCATAATTAGTGCTAAGTTTAGTTTCTGAATGACAACATTAGCTTTTGTCGACCATAACATCATGATCGTAGAAAAATGTCGGATTTGAAAAAAATCCAAAATCCACTTTTTATCATATTTGGATACTACTTTGACTAAATATTACGGCTGCATTAAAAAAAAATCCGTGTGTTTTAAATTTTAAATTAATCATTCGGTAAGGTGACGGATTTTATAGACGCTTTTAGAAGCATGTGATTTTTCTAGAAAACTGTGTAATTTAAGGTTATTATTTTTATTTTGTTTCAAAACAAACGATTTTGTTTGCTTGTAGGCCAATTTTCATAATTACAAAATATGAAAAAAATGTTATGACAAAAAAACTAACATGATTATATTATTTTGAAATGGCTGCTCTGTAAAGTTTACTATTTGTCAGATCCGTCACTATTCTACGACTATGACGATAAGTTCTATGGAGTACTCGAAACAACAAGTTTTTTGACATTAAAATAATGTAATACGCACTCAAAACTATATAATATTTGAACAATGTTATAAAATTTGATAATAGCCTCTTCTAAGCAAATTTTCATATCTTAGTTGGCTTATAAGAGGCTCAAGAGAAATAGATTTAAAAAAAGGTGAATAGTTTGAAGAAAAAAAAAACAAAGCAATATTACATAGATGTCTATCGAAATTAACAATCATTGTCTAATCATTTGTAATTAATGTTGGTTATAATCATCATACATTTGAATTGAGGGATGCTAATTATATTCACAATTTCATTATGCAGAACAAATTTTTATTTGCCATATTCTTGGACATTTGAGATACATTACATTTTATATTACTTCAACAAATTCATAAATTTTTTCAAGTGTTCAAAGTAATCATTAAAAAATGGTGTTACTGTGGTCTAAAGTTTTCTCATCCAGCCAAAAATTATAATATATATATTATATAATGTAGGCATACCTCAGGCGATATTTGCTGCATGTGGAACACCAATGTAGGAACAGATAATATCTGTATTATGAACATAGTGAGGAGCTTCTCAGAAAACTGGGCTGAGATAAGAGGGCGAAGAGCGAGGGCGACAATTGCAGACAACGCTATGTTCTTCAGACTCACTTTCTCGCGACACAAACCGCGAAGCAGAAGAGACTGAAAGTAATTTATCATTTAGGAAAATATAAATAAACTTAATTATAACATCTCCATCATTACTATGATTGAAAACAAAATAAGAATTCTCCATTTCAAAGGTACAAAATTTGTGGAAATGTAACAAAAATATTTGTATTTTTTTTTCAAAAATAAATTTTCAATGTTTTTATCATTTCGAAATGTTCCATTCCCATTCGGTCGACACATTTCTGTTTTAATTTTTTTAAGCGAGAAACTGTAACATCAGTGTGTCTTCTCCCAAATTGACTTTAATTTGGACCTAGAGTTGATTATATTCCCAAAAGTCCTTTGTCCATATTGCACCAAACAGGCTAAAGTTAAAATACGTTCTATATATTTGAAATACTTACTTTCAAAGTCAAATAATATCCCTTATGAAACAATGAGCCCATTACATTAGCACAGAGCTGTGTCATTCCTCCTCTCAACTTATCAAAGTTTTTAAGGCGAGTCAAAGCCCATGTATTTGTAGCTGTAAATGCCAACAGTGTGTGTAAATGTATGAGTATACTCTGCATATCCAGTGGGGACTCGGGTTTTAGTTGCTCCAGATACTGACAGCATTTATGTAGGAGATCCTTTATATGTGATATCCAGGATAAGCTGAAAATTTTTAAAAATCATTTATGCTTGGATACTGAATAAAATATAGCATTATAATCATGGTTATTGGTTGGGATGTTGGATATAGAATGCAAGTGTTTGTATACTAATTAAGTACATGTATCATCCTTAAGGAAAACCATCCAACTATAGTGAGCATGAAGACATAGGTATGTAATGCAATCTAAAATTAAGAAGGAGTTATATCTATATTTCCTCCTAAAGGCACCCCACCCCGGCTTTGTATAAACAAACCAGTGTTTTTATGTTCAAGAGTTGTAGCATCTTCTATACATATTTTATTCTTTTGTAGTAGGTATATTATTTTTTTAGTAAAGAATAGTTTTTATGATTAATATTAAGCTGTTAATTCTCAAAACACTGACAGTTTTAAGTATTTGCATATTACATATAAAACTTAAGAAATGTGTTATATATATTGTATATCATATACAATATAATATGGAACTGTTATTATCTTGCAAGTTTTAAATGCCAAGAATATGTTAGAAAATACATATGTAAATACAATAACTAGTTACATTGCCTTTTTGACATATCACAAGTATTTGTTTTAGCTTATATACAAAATGATGTATATTATTTTTACCTGTATTCTTTATTTAGGAACACTCCTACATAAGATATTTTTACAGACTCTGAATGCAGACTCTGGACTATATACTTGCAGAGTCTCTCAAATCTTTTCCTGTCCCTTTGTGGCTTAAATACAAGAAACAAGCGGCAAGTTGCTTTATATACATCCAAGGCTTGTACAAAATCTATCTGTTGTCCTTCATCTTGAGATCCATGGCTTGGTTCTGGTACTAGGTGATCAAATTCATCCCTGAAAATACAGAATTTAAAAATATTCCTATGTAGACAGACTATGTTGTTTTAGATTGAATATAAAAATAAAAGTCAAACTCGGTTATAATAAGTATCAGTATCTGTTTACAGGTATGATTTTATTTTTAACAAGCTACAAAGAATAGTAATAATGACAATTATACCCTGTAACTGTAAGAAATCATGTGGTACAAGGGATCTAATAACAAATTAACTATATTTACGTACAAAATAAATTTGATAAAGCGCTGTCTGGCAAGCCAGCCTCGAACAATTGCTTGTATTTTGGTTGCTGACTGTTCTCGCTTTTTTTCTAAAGCACGCTCTTCTCTCGCCGCTTTCATTTGCTCCAAGAATGAATCTTTGCTTGTTAAATTTTTAGAAAACATATTGCTGGAAACTATTTTATTTTGTACACAAATAGGATTGATAGATGAAAAATTACTGTTTGTTAGTTTAGCGGTCACTATGAAGAGGTCATTACGGATTAACAATAACACTACACTAAATCATTATCGGTGATTCATATTTTCTTGAAAAGAAGATCTATTTTACGCCATTCTTCTTTTAAAATTTACGTAAGTATTTTGGGCATTATCATAAATCTAATCCCAATTCCGAACCAAGATTTATTTTTCAATTTCCATTGTTTATTTTTGACAGTTAATTCCAAAGCTATGGGTAAACGTACGCGCCGCTGACGGCTGAAGTAATGGATAACGTGGCCCGTTAATAAAAAAAAAAAAAAGGTAAAAAAAAAAAAAAATAAATTTTAAAAAAAAATAATAATCATAAAGTTGGTTTTGATATTTGTGACTTAAATTTATTTATGTTAAAAGTGAAGAAATTGAATAGTTAAAAAAACCACAGCTTAAAAATGATTACTAAAATATTTTTATTGTCGCCATCTTTAAGCTTTGAATATAATCTATTAGTTATATTAAAAAAAAAAATCAAAAATTGCAACCCTTTAATGGTCTGTTGTGACGTCATGACGTCATACCGACCGCGGTCGGTATGTGGACGCTGGCTAAGCATTTTGACGTCCGTAGTGGAACGCACCATAAGTCAACCTTAGAGTCACGACTTACCGCTAAGTACGCTGTTTGACTTCCTGTCATGTCAAATCCAATACGTTTTACATCAAATACTCCAAAATCAAATACATACTTCAATAATGTATTGGATTTTGACATACAGAATCATTTCGATGAGACACGAGAGAAACTTACCCTAAGTCAATTGTAACGGCCGCTGTACTTACATGGCTAGACATTAGACAATGAAAAAAAATCAAATATGCACATGATGGCAACGCATCCGTTTAGCCTATCACGTCACGCCTTGTTCTCAACTTCTTGTCCATTTTTTGGCCCGAGTGAATCTTGATAACGATGATTTGTAATCAAGCATAGTACCTACTTTAAAGTAAATAGTTTTTTCAGCGAAAGCTCAGACAAGTATGGTAGAACTATAGGACTGTGATTTCTATAATAAACATATCTAGTACCTGCTTGATATTCACATTTGTATCTTAAGTAGTAGATACGTTTATATTGGTTTTCAGATACATATAAATATTGGCCTAGTGCCGAGAATACATAGCAAACAATATTTGAGGAATCTTGATTTTATTGGTCTATATGGTTTAGTTTATATTAACTGTTTAATAGAGGAAAATTGTATTGACTTCTGTGTAATTTATATTAAATTAAGTTATCACAGAATCACTCACAATCACAGTTGTATAAAATAAAAGCGGCCTGTTACGGCATCGCACTTTTATTTTTAAATATTGTTTAAATAAAAATAGCCTACGTTACTCAGAGACAGTGCATGTAAATGACGAAAAAAATATTTTAAATCCGTCCAATAATTTGAGTTTATTTGTTATCGTAGAGGACATAAACGTTTTATTTGCATGCAGAACGATTAAACATAGTAAAGCAATAAAAACAACACTATCTTACTGTTATTCTGTATCAAGCATAACATTTTTGGTTGTCTAACGCGGTCCAACCTGCTTCAGTATCTGTCCATGGCTTGGTTCGTAAATTTTATGTTGAAAGAATACGTGCAAGAGGTGCAACCAGTAAGTACCTTTACTTAATAGTAAAAAATTTGTGAAAGTTTTTTTAAACCTCCCAAAGCTGGCTCAATTAACTCGAGACATAACAGCTGTTTTAAAAGGCAAAATTACTTGTTAATAGCACATTATGATATTCGAGATAAATCTGCACCATAGTTAAAAGGTACGAAACGGGACGATCTGTGACTCCCGTATTGCAATAATGTTTTTACGCATGCAAGTCAAACTAGTTTCGTTTCTGAATCTTATATATAAAATATTGTCTTAGTTTTAGATCGTAAACCGTCTGTATTCCTATTGATTCATAACAATTTAGTCGATGTGAGAACAGATTTATTTGCATGACTTAAATATCAGTTCACGCCTATCCAAGTTACGGATTGAAGATACCTCTAAGGTATCCATTTCAGGTCGTATATATATTTTTATATGAAATAAAAAATGATCTATTCCATCCAATTGTGTGAGTGAGGTAATCATTTTATTAGTTTCAGACAAATTCTCAATGGTTTTAATATTACCCCAAATAGCTTTAAAACATTTTTAAGGTAGGCGTCTCGTCTTGTCATTTTTTTCTTAATACATTTTCCCGCCTTAAGATAATTAATTAATAATTAATCATTTAATTTTTTTACAAAAAAATTGTCACATTGAATATTAAATTATTTATTAATAATATATCCAAAACCATCCACTTTTAAATAAAAATATTGATTTATTCATACAGGTTGTACACTTATTAACGTCAATTAAAAAAATGAAGGTTCTAAATTAATTTTTTACTGCCAGTTGCCTTTTTCTACTCGCTAATATTGGCTTATTAAGGCTTTAAATGACAATTTTATTAATAGACAACGTAAAATCTTTAAAAAAACCTACTCTTCACCCCTAATGAACCTTTAAATAAGTATGTAGTTATGTTTTGACCGTTTTATTTTTCAAGGGAAGCTTAATTGTTAGTTTACGAATATGTTTTCTGGAGACATAGTAACTTTTAATAATTATAGATTTTAAACCACATCAACAAAGCAAAATTATGGATTTCTTATAATAATTAAGGAAATCCTATAAATAGGACTTTGCTGTATTGACTTCAGTCCTTTCCTTGTCCCATGATGGTAATTTTAACAAATTGTTAATTATAGGCGCCGGTATGCGTAAAGTAGAAATGCTTAGTTGCTTAGTTAATTTTTAACTTTTTATTTAAAACGTGCAATACTCACGAAAACCATTAGTATTTTTATTTACGAATAATTTGCGTCTTTTTCTAAAGTATATAATTAATCACTTTAAAAAAAGACGCAATGTACTTATTATAACGTACTTTTTACTATTATATTCAAGTAAGATTTTAGAAATAGGATACTTGATAATTAATAGCTAGATAATTATTTATGTAAAGTATTTAATTATGTTATTACAAATTGTATATTTTCATAATCTTTACTGAATTCAAATTTTTGTGTCGGTTTTAGATTATTTGAAACAAAGCACTTTAGTATCTACTTCATTGAATATCTATTGAAATATAATTAATACAATAATAATATATCATGAACGGAAAACCTATTTCGGTGAATAATTATGATCATTCATTAACTAATTACTTTTTAAAAATTCAGGATTATTACTAATGTTATCCATGGGACCAATCGTGTGTCGAATTCCTAAAATATTTCAGAAGAAATGTGTCATGGAACTACTTTTGTCTAAACTCATTAAAGGACATTTAAAATCGCACATCCGGTGATAATGGGTCATGGGGTGAGTAAGAAGTGATAAAATTTCCGATTGCATATCAATTGTGATAATAATGCAACATATTTTAGACAGCAATTTTAACTAATGATGCATGCAATTGTGTGTCGTAGGTAGGCATTGTTTAAAAAACTGGCTGAGTTATAAGAAAGATTGCTACAGTTTTATATTATATTAAAAACTAAGTAAATATTTTAAGTAATGATTACATACGATTGCGTGAACAATATATGAAATGTATTTACAATATAATAATAATAAAACTACTTTAATTCCATACTGTTATATATTGTACAATATGTAGGCACAATATTACATATTTATTTTATATATTTATTGAAGTTTACCACATCATACATAATACTATTTGTAAAGTATATGTTACAAGCTATCTTTTCTAAAATATATGACAATTTTGGTAAACATAAATCTTACTAATAACAAATAAAAAATATACATAAAATAATAATACTTGTATTTTTTATGAGATATGTACCTACTTAACAATGCTTTCTTTATAATTGATCAGCCCACTACCGAATATATCCAGCTCCGCATAAATACTGTTTAATCCGTTAACACATATCAAATGGGTTATTATACTCTTAATTTACGTTTGTTATAGTTATTTCCGTTTTTTGTGTTCTGCAGTATGAACTATGAACCCCTTTTGGGTAAAGGCCTCCTCCTAAACTTTCAATTTTGATCTGTTCTTAGCTTCTTCTGTCCATATCTACCCAGAAACCTTAAATATGTTGTATAATCAATTCTCTTTTGTTTTTTATTAATGGAAGGGATTTGTTTGCGTCGTGTCGGAACGTGTCATTAAAAATGGAAAAATTGAAGTTCGCGAGGGAATAAAATATCTCCGATTAAAAACGCAGCTGGTATTCAAGTATAAGTAAGGTATTCAAGGGTAGAGAGAAACATTAGGGGTTCATACTTCTTTAAATTCTACGGTTGCGCGTGGGCGCCAGGAAGAACTTAAGAAGGAAGGGCCCGCACGGAACGCCGTTCATCGTGACTAAACAAATTATTAAAAAAATTGGAACACATTATCTTAGTGGATCGCCGTGTAACTGCTAGTTTTATAGCAGAAGAACTAGAGATCTCTATAAGGAGTGTCCATAATATACACAGCCGTTTGTGTATGAAAAAAGTGTCTGCGCGCCCAGAATGCTTTCTAACGCGGCGACACAAACGAGACAGAGAATTTCACAAAGCTATTTGGGTTTGTTACAACACGATGTTGTAGTCGCCGCTGTATACTATTTTTTAAGGATTGCTTTTAGTAAGGGAATTTTAGTTTAAGAAAAGATACACAAAGTCTATAAACCTGAAAAGTGACTACGTCAAAATATATATAATGTTTAATAAACGATAATTGTGTTATAGTAATTATCATTATTTTTTTATTGAACACCCCGAGTAGAATATAAATATATCGATTAAAACTTTCTCGTTTTGTGCATGAATGCGTGTAATTATTTATTTCATTACATTTTTGTAAGCAGAGATTAAAAAGACACCGACATAGTCAAGATTTTAAATTATTTTTCAATGTTTAAGAGTTACAATAAGAAATACATTTAACTAAGATTCAAGCGTTTTACCCAACATGAAAACAAAATGATTCTTTTATCTTTAGAAATGATTTAGATGATTGATGGCCTGTTATCGGATGTATTTTTACAATAGAACCCAGCTTAAAGTAGTACAAGTCAACTGTATTAGTTTTATATAAGATAAAACAATTTATATTATAACTTTTTTAATATTCAACTTTAGCATTTTAATTAAAATTTTCAGGATATAAAATATTTGATTAATTCACACCAATTGACCTAGTCCCATGCTAAGCTGGTGAAGCTTGTGTTATGGGTACAAGGCAACGGATATACATACATATTATAGATAGACATATAAATACATATTTAAACATCCAAGACCTAAGCACAACACCAAATGCTCATCGCATCGATGTTTATCTCAGCCGGGGATCGAACCCGGGACCCATGTATAGTCAGGGGTACTAACCACTAGACCAATGAGTCGTCACTAATATCTTATATGATATATAAAACCAAGATGTACTCTATTATATATATAATATTCTCTTGCTATGCGAGTCCAGTTAAGTTAATGGTAAGTTACTCAATATCATACAATGTTGTTACGCCGGACATCAAACTGAGATCGCAACGTTGACCACTAAGCAAAGTAGTGTAAGCAGAGTATAAAATGGTTATAATAAATTCCTTAATTTCCTGGACTAAAGGATCCCCGATTGTTTTCAGTATTCATCGCAGTGCCTATATATCTATAATCATCGTCAGGTTAGTAATAATTTAGGTTATTTTTTTCAAAAAGAGCATCCGTACTCCTCTTTGAAAGGCCGACAACGCTGGGTGCGTTGTCGGCTTGTTGACTTAGATGACCATGGGCTGCGGTAACTGCATTTTATGGCTAATAAATCAGTGGCGCTACAACCTTTAGAGATCTGGACCTCAGATTTCTATATCTGCTTCATGATCACTTGTCAATCTAATAGACAAGTGATCAGCCTCCTGTGGCTGAGACACGCCGTTGACTTTTCGGGTATAAGTTTGCTTCACCGTTCGAGCGAGTTTTTGGTGCACAGCCAAGGATCGAACTTACGACCTCAGGGATGACGGTCGCACACTAAAGGCCACCACTGTTCTTGCCTCCATGATATATAAAAAAACACTCATAAATGGATTTTCATAAGTTTATTTTGAAAATATCTGGCCTTATTTCAATGAATGCGAAAAAAGTTATTTATGTATTATTTCAATCAATTAAGCTTTAATTGCAAATATATTAAAAAAATATATATCATACCTATTTGAAAAAGTTCTATAAGTCAAAGAAATCACTAAACGTATTAAGAACAATTAAACCTTTCTTAAAAGACAATGATAATTGATATAAATTAATAATACAAATATGATAAATTCAAAAGTGCCTTCCGGTAAATAAGTAGCGGTCTAGTTACCTTTTTTTTATATAGAACAGGGGGCAAACGGGCAGGAGGCTCACCTGATGTTAAGTGATACCGCCGCCCATGGACACTCAATGCCAGAGGGCTCGCGAGTGCGTTGCCGGCCTTTTAAGAATTGGTACGCTCTTTTCTTGAAGGACCCTAAGTCGAATTGGTTCGGAAATTCTTCAACCTTTATAGTTGAATTTTTTAAAATGATGATGGATCAAGCCCAATTTGCTAACAACAAATACACGCATCTTCTAACAACGCTTAACTAAATCAAATGCATTTTGTATTGTAAATGCAGTGTTTGAAATGTGTTTAATTATCTATGACTTTTTCTCTGTTATTTAAAATAAGATCAGATAGTTAAACAGAGCAAATGTTTATTAACTTTAATATATGGATTGACGGAATGGTACCCTAGAGATGGAAAACGGAGCAGAGGCCGACAACGCAAAAGATGGGAGGATGAACTCAAATTACCAGCTATAGGCTACAACTGGAGAAGAGTCGCAAAACTAGATAACTCGGTGGCCCTCTGGTATTGAGAGTGTTCATGGAAAGCGGTATCACTTAACATCAGATGAGTGCTGCCCGTTTTCCCCCTGTTCTATAAAAATCATTACAGTGGAAAGGGTTAGAGGAGGCCTTTGTCAAGAGGCACAGACACACACTCCGAGATATATGTACCTATTACTGTAGTATTATTGTAGTGAAAATATATTAAAGATCACAGATCACAGAGTTTCGGAATGTAAAGGCTATATTATTATTATTATATGCACTCATCACTTGAAATATTAATAAGTCTTCTGCGGGCAAATTAATTTATCAGAAAAACTTAAATTCCAATGTACCTATGACCATAGATTAGGTAAAGTAGAATCTAATACAAAGAGATACGTTTTGGGTTTCGCAGCTACAAACAAAAAAACAATACTAATAAATGCCTTATTTTGAATTTATTAAATGAGATTCCTACATGAGACTAAATATCAACCGTAATAATTTATTTCCTTCTTATAATTTAGTCTAAAACTAAATTCGTAATCACTAAATCTGACAAAGTTCCCGGACTACATTTTTATTTCAAAACCTTATTAATGTTCATGCTTAGGCAATATATATTTCCCTTTTAAAACATAAAAATAAAATACATGTCTGTATGCTGTTAACAATAGGTTTCCAATATGCGCCTACGCATCAAATGTCAGATCACCTGTAAAGGCGGGTGAAAAGCTCGAAAGGCTAAGGCTCTATAGTTATTAGTTGTAGTCTTGACCAATCGGAATTAAAGGGCGTGGCGATGCGCGCGCGCCGCCCGCATGTCATCTTGTTGTCAGTGTAAACGCAGCTGTCGTTTCGTCAATACGCACGTCGCATTCTTTTTCTTATAGACGTTCTGTCGTGTTTAACAGTATTTGATAGAACAATTTGAACTGCCGGTGAAGGAGATGTTTTAGTGAAGTGTTCTAGTGACATTTATAGTTGAATTTTTCAAAATGATGATGGATCAAGCCCATTTTAGTGAATACTTGCTGAGACAGCAAATGCTGCACGCAGCTTCCCTAAGTGGATTGCGTAAGTAATAAGCATATTATATTCAAAACATGTCAATGTAACTTATCCAGCAGTTATGAGAAATTTTCAAAATGTCAAAAGAAGTTAATTTGTAATGGAATATAAACGTCATTAATAACAAAATAGGAAATAATAACAAATCAGGAATCGGTTTTGCCAATTAAATTTTGATTTTACAAAAAACAATATCAAAGAAAATATGTAATTAGTTATTTTTATTTTAAAATTATTACCATATTATTTACTCTTATGTTTTGTCTTAATCACTCTAAGCATGACAGAACATTATTTAGCTAAATACGCCTTTAAAATGTTTATGTATAAGACTGTATGATTTTATATTATATTATAGAGAAACCTAACATATTTTTCCAAATCGTTATAAAATCAGCACATAAATCGCATGGCAATACAAGTAGAACTAGACACATTGGTAATTGGTATTAGAGCGGAGCGCGTTGATGTCTTTTCCATTAAAGCTCAGAGATTGTATTTCAATTCTAATAAAAACAAGAATAGTTGTATACATATATACTATATATGTATATAGCTAGCGTATTTTATTATTAAAAAAACACGGAAAAAAATTTATCCAAGTGGTCATCCTTGTTATAAACAAAAATTAGTTTGACGGCTGGACCAATTCTCTTGATTTATTTCTTCCTTGAACTGTGAGGTAGTTTTTTTATGGACAACAAATTTGTAAAATATATTTAAAAAAATAGTTGTGTTAATTACTTAGGTTTAAATAGTCGCATAGTAAAATGTTCCATATGTCGGTATGTAGGTAGATACTAAAAACTAGGCTAAGTATAAAAACTAAGTTCTCCAGGTCAGCTAGCACTATATAATATATAAGAATTATTTGTAATAAAATTACTATTAATATATAATAAAATGTATTGCATGGCTTCAGTAAAATATTATTGTTTACTGACATCATTTTTTCTTAACAGCATTTATTATTAATAAGCATTTAGCAATGCAGAGTAGCATCAATTTTACAAATTAAATTGTATAGTAGGTATGTACAATGTGTAAAAATTGAAATTATAATGTATAACTATAAAATGAAATCTTTGTTTATTGTAACCAATTGACCTAAAAGCATTATATCTTAATATACTAAATTGTAATTGCCTAATGACATGATAATGAGTTTTTATATTTTCTTGCATCCGCCGTAGTAATAATAATATGTATTTATATACTTCTTAACAGTTATTCTTTTTTTTTTTTCTTTTTTTTTTTTTAAATGACAATATGTTCTTATATTTATTAAATTAAAATTTACACAAAATATACAGTATTTACAATTTTCTTAACCTATAAAGTAATAATAAAAATAATTAAAGAAGAAATAGTAGAAATAGTAGTTTCCGCCGTAGTTAGTTTTAAAATAAATTACAACTTATATCTATTGTACAAGCTCAAAAAAAAACATTATTCATATTAGTTAAGTTTTTCATGGGTAATTAACTAAGTAATCATAGTTGACGTCCATGTTATCGGTGACTTTCGTTTGGTCTGGTCATGCATTTATAAATTGCAATGCAATTTATTTGTTTCAATTCTTGGTATAATTCCCGACATCCCGTCATGAGGTTAGCAAAAATCATTTTCTAGGTCGTTCTTTATCTGCAGACTTATTACCGCGAAGTATCGCGTTATGTTATATATTTAGGTGTCGAAACTTAAATATTTTATTATTATAATTAAGTCACATAAAAACTGATTTTTTTTTTCTTGTTTTGTGCTGGGGATTACTCGACGTGGCCAAAGCCTTTTAGTATGCATAATGTTATCTGCATATTCTAACAGTATTTTCAAGTTTAATTTCAAAGTTTTATACCGTGACGGCGCGGAATGACCTAACTCGCAATATCAAGGCCATCAAATCAAATTGTAGCGGTCAAAAGCCAGAGAGAATTGGCAATCGTTTAATATTGTTTGATTGCTTCCTACGTGAATCTCAGATCAAAGGCACCGCGCATTTGCAAACGCTTACTTGCGCATTGACAAAATCTTATGTTTCGATAATGGCTCGGTTCTCTTTGTGATTTATAAAAAAAAAATAATATCTTTATATTTTAATTGTACGAACAACATAATAGTAATAACAGAGATAAGGAGAATACGAATTCAACGTGTGTTTTTGATTTTATTAGCGAACAGCGATTTTTAATCGCGCTGCAAATGCGCTAATCTCTACTGGGACTCCAATTGGAATTGAATTGAAAGTATTGCTATTTGGAGAGCTGGAGACACTAAAAACATTAGGGGTCAGCTTTTTGGCTACAAAACAATTATAGTTAATTAGTGCTAATGTAACTAAATAATTATAATCTCCTTTTAATATTATGCTAAGATTAAGAAAATTTTCTAGTAAAACTAAGTAAGGAATTATATAATTAAACATCTTAAAAAGTTAATAACTAATTAGTAATAATGTTATTCTATTTTATATTTCATCCCATTTTAATAATGATGAAAGCCATGGATTTTTGTGTCTTGGTAAATACTCGTATACCAACCGCTATTAGAAACTCTAGCCGTCGGAAAAATAATTTAATATAATATAGTTTTTTTTAACGTGTCTGTTGCATTTATTTATATTTTATTAATGTCTACTTATAAGAAGCAAATAAGAGAAATGGGCAAAAGATGTGTTTGAATGATACCCAAGAGAAGACAAAAGGAAGAGGGGTCGTAAAGTAAAAAGATGGGCAGATGGTCTGCCGAAGAGATGGAGGAGACTAGCCCAAGAAAGAGCAGAATAAAAAAAAGGGGAGGCCTATGACAAGACAACCTGACCATAAAACTGATTGTTAAAAAAATATCAATTGTTTTTTCTCACCAATTATTTGTTTGTAACCGGTCAGAGAATAAAGGCTTTATTTATTTAATTATAATGACTTTAATACCTGTTTTAGTGAACCTGTTATAATTTTTTAAACATTACGACATATATATATAACTAATATAATTTTAATACGTTTAAAAATGTATCATTGTATTTTTTATAGAACACAGAGTAGGCGCAGACGCAGAACCGCCTGTATGCGAAGGCCGACTACTGAATGGTGATCTGTGGAGACGGTTTCATGATATAGGCACTGAAATGATCATTACCAAAGGCGGACGGTGAGTTTATAACCCTTTTTAAATATTATTACACTTAACACCAACACACAAGACAGCCAAATTAGGTATTACTTAGTTAAATGTATTTAATATTTTTTTTTTCCTGTCTAAGTTTCGTAAATGATTGAACCTTTTTTGTATATATATTGTGTCCCATCTTTAGTGTAATTGTTTTTTGCTATATATAATTTAAGTACAGTAGACGAAGACATTTCTTTGTCCGTTTAAATACATTTTGATATAGTACCTACCTACTGATGAATCAGTTACCTATTAGAAATAATTGTTTACAAAATATCATGTTCTTCCTATTTTCGATCAAAAATAGGAATGATGTAGTTTTGATATTAAGTGAAAATTAGATATACTTTTCATAAAACTGTCCGAAAAAAATCATAGTTTTTGTATGTGCACAACAAATTTTTAGTTCATTAAATTTAACACAAAATGTCGAGAAAATTCTACATGTAACACATTTGTAATTAATAACACATTTTATAGAATAAAAGCCGAGATTAATATATTATATTACATTCAGATTTATTAGCTACACGAGTATTTTTAATACATAGTACATCCTTTTGGATAGAACCAGTTCATAATAATAAAATTTGATACATTAACAACCATAACTTGTAAAATTTTATAAACTCATTTATTTCAACAAATAAAAGCGCTTAAACTATTTTTTCTAAACATATTTAAAATCGCTATAATTACTATCTATCTTATGTCACATTCACATGCTTAAAATCTATCTCTTAATCTTTAGCTATTTGTTATAATCATCTGTACAGTCTTTACAGTTACCAATTAAAATTATAATTGGACAATCATAAAAATTGTTGTTTAATTTGTCATAATTAAATGTCTAAATATTGACTGAGAAAAGAACCATTAAATAAGTTCACAGGTAATATTTATAGAGCAGTGTTGGCCTAGTGGCTACAGCGAGCGACTCTCATACCTGAGGTCGTAGGTTCGATTCCCGGCTGTGCACCAATGGACTTTCTTTCTATGTGCGCATTTAACATTTGGTCGAACGGTGAAGGAAAACATCGTAAGGAAACCGACATGTCTTAGACCCATAAAATCGACGGCGTGTGTCAGGCACTGGAGGCTGACCACCTACTTGCCTATTAGATTTAAAAATGATCATGAAACAGATTCAGAAATCTGAGGCCAAGACCTAAAGAGGTTGTAGCGCCACTGATTTATTTTTATTATTTATAATGTAAATTGGTATTATATCAATCAAAAGTGATATCAAAAATATCAAAAGTATGTAACTTTGATAAATGTTTAAGAGTGATTTAAAAAAAAAGTGTTCCTAAAATAATCTGACTTGTACTGCGTATTTTTTAAATTTAGAATAACATATCTATTTATAAAAAGCAATCAAATAAAGCAGCTGTCATAAAATAGCCTCCAGCACAATCTTAAAACATGTTGGTTATCCGCCATTAATTTCAAAATACCAACAAAAACTTAACGAAAAGCCATTAGGGCTGCCGAATCTGACGCGGGGCTTGTTAACGGACAATTTGGGAGTATGGCCGGACCTCCATCATAGACAAAACAAACAGCTGCCTCGACATCAATTTGTGCATTTCTCTAAATGGTCGAACACAAATTACACCTTATTATAAGCTTGTTTGCTTTACGACTGTACCCCTACAATTATTTTTTTTCATCGATAATGTTAAGCGAACACAGAAATTACACAGGCGCGGCAATCTCGGCGCCTTCGACGTTTCCTGCTCTCGGGAGGGCGTAGGCCCATCTGTCTCCGACTGATAAGATTCGTTTACAACCGCAATGACAAATCGCGATTTTCATTGGAAGGAATCCTTTCACATTAAATTGCAGTAATTATCGGCCAATGATAGCGATAAAGATCCGGTGAACTAATTAAATGTACTCCGAGAAGTGCATGAGTTTTTGCAGATGAACAACGCACATGCGTGGTGGTTGTTGTGTGGCATTACTTTGTTGTAGCGACGCACGAACCGAGGTTTTTTACGCGTAATTAGCCGCTCGTCTTAAGCCCTGTCATCTTCTACACGTTTTTTTCAAATCGCTGCCGGCGGACCACCGCGCTGGACGCCAGAATTTCGATAATTTACCGCTTTATTCGTGAATCTCGTTAACTGCGCGCCCGCGCCGGTCCAGAGGTCACTTTTGTTTGTTTTGTATTGATGATCCCGGCCCAGGGGCGCGTCGGCGCCGCTCGTGGCGCCACATCTCGAAATGGGTCAAAAATATTCAACTCTTATTAAACTAGGTACACGCACACGAAATTGAGTTATTTCGTTCGAAGATCACGCATTCACATTGGTGTAAAACAGCTTAAATTGTTGCGTGCTTTTAGATGTTGTTTGACTAGACTGTGGGTCTGTAGAGGAGGGTAGGGGGGGGGTCTATAAAGCTTGAGTCGTAAATAGAAAGCGCAAACAATGAAATTTGGGCGGTTCGTTTGTGCAACGTGGCTCGTATATGGGCAGAGTTAACACCTGCCGATACAGCGGCCATGCGCACGACTTATATACAAAGTATATAGAGTTTCTCACCTGCTAACAACAAATATGTTAACTTCAACATAACATGACATCGTAAGATAGATATCTCGCTTCCAATTAAAACAGCAATTGTTAACGCCCTTATAAAAAGTTGACATTTAAGACCCCTGTTCTATGCATACTTGTTGGAGGTAACACATTTAAGAATAAGAGGTACCTACAAGTCACGTAGCCTTACAAGACAAGTAAAATGACTCAATAACTTTAATAATTATAAGTTAAAGAGATCTATCATGCTATAATATTACACACAGGGCTCAATTATCCATATCATAACTTATTGAAAACAACTTTATTCATTGTTAATTTAAATTTAATTATGTTGCAAGTTTTTCAATAATTACATAATGTCATTATTAAATACGTAATAGCAAACTGGAATAAGAACTATTATTAGGGAAACAAAAACTAAACAGATTCTCTGAAGCTGTTTTTAGTGAACTTATTATCTCGAACGTCTCATTTACATAATCTGAAATATGGTCTATCCATCTAAATAAATAATCTTGTCTGCAATAATAAACCACAGAACTGTAACACGTTCCATCTGCTATCAGAGATAATACAAACCCTCAATAATCGTTGTACAAACAAACAAATGCTTAGACTAGTGCCTTTTTTAAAAAAGAAACGAAATATGACAAATGGGCGAGGCGCGCCGGCGCAGAACGCTCGCGTGTCGTCGCGCGGACCTCCCGCCATTTTAAAAACAAACAGACAGTATAAAAACTCATTATTTATTCCCGTGTTATTCAGTGGGAAGGGAGCCCAAATTCGCTTAAAAAAATCATAAGTTATAATTAAATTCTTGAGATGTTCGGATCTACCGTCGTGGTTAATGCGAGTACCGACTACATGTTTGCAGCAGGCGGCTCCAATCGCTTTAGCTTTTATCGTTGTAGAGTTTTATGAGATTCGGGAGATTCGATGATATCGCTGAGATCTATCTACAAAATCACGTTCATAACATACGCTTGCCGCTTGTCTTAACATAAATACCGATTAATTGATTTGATATGTGTCGTAATTAAAATGGGTGATTAGAGCGCGGGATTCGGCGCCGGCGCCTCAAAGCGTCTCTTCCAGCATTCCTTTTGTTTTACCATAGGTCGTTTGTCGCCTGCTTGCTGAGTGGGTATCCGCCTTCCCTGTCTGCCATATTGGTACAGGAGCGAGTGCGAGAGAGAGGCGCGCGGGCGCCGACCTCCTGCGGTGCCGTCGGCCGCCCGCCGCGTGCTCCGCCCAGCGCATGCAGCACTAATAATCAGATTATGACAGCCAACTCTCAAGTGCTCAATACTTCTACTCGTCACTCTTCACTGTCTCCTGAAAAATTGACAGCAGACATCCACATGCCCATTCTTGATCAGTTGATAATTGGATGAGCTGTTTTTCGCCAAGGAAATAGTGCAATTATACCTCAATTCTAAGCAAGAAATATTTCATATATATATACTTAAGCAAGAAATAATTAAAATATTTTATATAAAATTCAGACGCAATCTACTGCATCTGAATAATAAAAATACTTAAATGGTACGGCACGTAGACAGATAAAAATCGTTGAAACTTTTTAAATGTAAAAACATTTAGTCTTCGAGAACGCTAAATTGCTTAATTTTACTTCACGCAATCACTATAAAATCCTAATATCCGTAAAACGAAGTTGTTTGTGCGACTTGGGAGAATTGATTGTGACCGTTTACAGTAATAAAGGCTTAGATGACGTAAGATTGTCGTTGAGACAAAAGCGTAACGTCATTGTAGGTAATTGATAATTCCGTGAAGGGGCAAGAATCTAAAGCACGCGCCGAACGACGACGCCACCGAATGATCATATCGCGACGTCCCTTAGGAAAACGAATTCAATCCCGATTAGCCAAGACAGTAAAAGCAACGTAGATTGCTAGTCATTAAGCGAGCTGACTTAACAGTTATCTTGACGAACCCGCAATGTAGACCTATACATAAATCATACAAAAAATATTGTCAAGAATTTTGATATTGCGTCGTCATCACCGCTCCCGTGGCTAAAACAATCGACTGGAGTAAAAAACTAATACGTGAAAAAGAAATTGAATTGAGAACTAAAAAATGTGGTCCGCGTCATCTCTGAGCGGCGCATGATTCATTTTTTGCTAGCCCGGTCTGATGATAATTTCTCATTAGGTTATAACATTTTTGTCAGTCGAAACGTCGTAAATTCCTCGAATAATTTAGGGAAGAAAGTGGTCGTGTGTTTTGTTTTTATGGCGCCAACAGGCAGCCGGGTTAGATCGGTATCTCTCGATACAAGCGTTTAACCCATGTTACGTGGAAGTTGGGGATTCTCACGGACCGAACGGCGGGCGATCATTCGCTAACGACATGTAATTCACCAGAATAAAACGATTTAGATATTTCTTTGTATCGTTCGTAGAACTGTATTTGGACAATTTATGTATTAATTAATAATTAATGCGCTTTAATACGAAGCGGTGTCAATATAAAAACACACCAGTGCAATATGAAACGGCAGATATTCATTAAAACGTCATACCTGCATAACTTAAACAGACAATTAGAAGGCGTCTAAAAAGTTGTATTCTAACAATTTATGTCTGCCTTGTCCTCTCTTGTCATTAGCAGTGTGTACAAAACATTCTGACATTCTAAAACATACATATTTTATATTTTTTAATATTAATATTAAGCCTTTATTGCTGACACCCAGTGTAATATGTATATAAACATTGTTTTAGTTACTTAATCCAACTTAAGATGAACTAATCTATGATGTACCGGTTTTGGTGATCAGCATATCGTGTCCTGACAGATAACTCCTCTCTTCCAGCTGCTTCCATTCTTTCCTATAGCTCTTATTGTCCAAGTTGTGTCTTCTATTCTCTTTACATTGTCTACTATCTTGCTATGTCTTCCTCTTTTCCTTTTTCTAGTCTCTCAATGGTAGACAATTCAGAGTGGCGATATAAAGTATCTTATTTTCGGTAGGGTTTTAAATATTTGAAATATCTATAATTTTTTTTGCGTTGCTAATACATATTATTTTTTTATTGATTTTTATTTAAACATATAAAGTCTTAGACAGTATATACTTTTATATATATATTCTTTAAAGACCCTTTAATAAATAATAAGCAATTATTAAACTAACAACTATTTGTTTGAAATTTTGAGAATAATGTAGTCTTAAATCGGTACATATTTACGGAAGAAAATAATTATATAATTTAAAAATTCCTTAGTTACAAGTTTATGTATTCTGTAACCTGTTGTCTTTAGTAAACACGAGTTTGACATTTAAATAAAATTTCGATAATAGATATAAACACGGATCTATTATATTGTACATAATCCGACGCTTCGAGCTTTTCGTAAATAGATTTGCATTTATATAAATTAAAAAGAATATTTAAACGCTTGTCTTAAATTTAGTTTTTTAAATAAATTGGTATATTTTTTTCCCTCGTTTTAAACTCTGCATCAAATATATATTTATTAATAAAAATGGTAATGTCAACGACACCGACACTCCCACTTTTAAATTTTAAGCAACATTTGATGTTATCATACACTCATATGTTTAAATTAATTTAATTTGCATAAACTACAAGATGAAATAATTTTTAAATTGACATAATGTTATAGCTATTGTAGTCAGCAAATCATATATTCGTTCTGGATGTTTCATACATTATATGTACTTAGGGTCAGGGTTTGTTACGCATACTTACACTAAGAATACTTTATCCTTAAAAAATGTTTTAAACATACACCATGTATCACGGAACAATTGTAATCTAGACACCCACTTGTGGCGGAGAGTTTATTGCCAGTTCTTCTCTTCCGTTTACGCCCTTGATTGGAGAACTGGCAGTAAATGTAAAATTAGAAGCATTTAATGTATATTTCTTTTTTGACGTTTATAAGTGCACATTGAGTTACCTATATGAATAAATGATTTTTGACTTTTGACTCCCTAGCGTTAGACCAATTTTGTCACAACCATATTTTTGTCGCAACCCTATATTTGTCACGAATAAAATGTTATTATTCTATTATTATGCTGCCGATTTCTAGAACATGCTTTACTGTCCACAAATACCATTTGTTATTCATATTCCAACAAGTTACAAACAAAGCTTGTAATGATAATTCCCTTAGTACAACCGAGAGCCACCCGCGCGAGAGATACCATCAGAGAACCCATTGCGACATCACGCTATGATCTGTATCAGCAATGCTACTGAAACATTCAACCCTTTTACGTGTTCAAACAAAAATAAACCCTGCCAACAAACGATAAAGTTTAAAATTCCACTCTAAACACCGTAAAGCCAACTTAAAAATGGGTGAGCGAACGCAATACAGCACGATTTTTTAATAAAAGTGTCAGTCGGGTGTCGTTGTTACCTACTCGTTAAGGTTGTGAGAATACCGTTCGTGATAAGTCATGCTGCACAAGCGTGACATAAATGTTTATAGCTCACAAGAACTTGACCTTTAAGAGATGGCATCGTTTGGTAAAACTGCCATCAAACTAAAAGTGAGGAACATCTTTGTACTTTCCTATTTTACAGTCTCCAGCGAAGGTTTTTGAACAAAGTTTCACACTGAAAACAGGTTAAGCGTGAGACAACTTTTTTCAATCTCTGAATTCTGAGGTTCACAAAATGATGGCAGATTGTGGTCTCGCAATCTTGGATCTCGTTTTTCAGACCTGTTCATTTCACATAGAACATGTTCGTTTCCTCGCACCGTTTCTTCCTTCCATTAGAAATTATCTTTAAGATAATCCTATCTTACGAGTATTTATCGATTGTACTTTGCCGCTGCGACAATACAGTACATTTTTTAAAATAATAATAATTCTTTATTTTCTCCCATATAACATATGAAACAAACAGTACAATTACAATTAAGAAGGTATTGGGAGACTGGTTTCCAAGCTAGGTAAGAACCAATATGGATAACCAGGCGTCCATTCCACAGCAAAGTCATACTGAATTATAACAAAAAAAGTACATCATATATGAGTAGGCAACAAAATTTAAAGTTTCTAAAAAAGGAAGAAAAAAAAACTAATCAAAACAGTCAACTAGATTCCTACATAAATAGAGTTGTATTGGGTGTATGTGTGAGTGAGTGTGTGTGTATGTGAGTGAGTATTTTTAAGTTGGTTCATTATAATCCTGGTGACTCCCTCAGTAGACGGGATTGCGTGTGTACTATTTTCTTCTCACGAAGTAAATTTCTTTGAAATATGTATTTCAATGTCAACTTGGTATGATGTCGCAACATATCCACTAATTACTGTGACAGGGGCGGTGCGTTTGAGTCCAACACATTACGCAACCTTGGCGCGATTCCTGGTATGACTGATCATTTACGCTTGGGATAAGCGAATAGCGAGCTGGATCTTTTATTTCTACCTCCCACTGTACATTGTCAACATTCGTGACAACGTATAAAACGTTGTATTTTTTCGGCAGAGATTTTATTTTAACCAAAAAGACCTAAACTCAAACTCTTACATGAAGAATATGAAGAAACCAATATTTATTTCGATTGTTAAACGTTATGTCATATTTACGAGCTAAACAAGTTCATATTTGTTTGTATAGTGTCAAAACTCAATAGATTTTGACTCAATGACTAAGATGTATTAGAAGCGCTGACTTGAGCCACACACGCCGAATTAATATCAATTAACACACACGAACTTAATTGTGAATCGAGTGCGGTTCGCGTGCGGCGGCCTCTTTGTCGGCGAAGCCCTCCTGCGAGTATAATTCGCGAGTATCTCTTCCTTGAAATGTTTCCTAAAATACAAGCGTTCCAAGATCCGATGAATAATGAACCCCGGTACATACGTTTGTAATTAGTCCTCAGGGTTCTAGGTATTGCGGTATCACGGTACGGTAACCGCAGATCCTGCACTTGATGGGTTTGCTATTCACATTATTCTTTACGATGACAGACTTTTCTTGTTAGGCTCACATCAATTAATTATCATTAAAACTCCCGTGATTCATGGTAAATATAATTATACAATTAATATGAAATTAATAAATATTTTTTTATAAGACGACTGCGACTACATCATCTTATAGCTCACTTCTATAAAAATTGCACTTCCATGACTACCAGACTCGTAATCATGCTCTGTTTCACGGTCCTCATATCAACACCAACTATGCAAAAAACTCAGTTTTGTATCGCGCAACAACGGCAGCAAAAGTCGGCAACGACCACTATTTAAGCCTTGACTTGTTGACTTGAGTATTAAGAATATCCTTACCGCTATATGCAATATTAGCACACCCCACATACACACGGCATGGCCCGAATTAGGTATAACGTATTTAATCATTTTTATCTTTGG